CTGTCCTCTCTCTCTCTCTCTCTCTCTATCTCTCTCTCCTCCCTCTCTATCTCTCTCTCTCTCTCTCTCGACTGGTGAAGCTTCTGATCCTGATGCTCATCAGGGCCCTAAAACCCTCCATGTTTCTCTCAGCCTATTTATATATATATTAATAACTTGCATAAAAATGTAACATCAACATTTCTATGCAATTTGTCACATTACTTTAAAGAATTCACCAGAAAGCTATTTGCCATTCAAATTTTACACTTTGCTGTAGCACAATAATTACAGAGAAATTAAAAGCAATAAACAACATTTGTTTTGTACAGGGATGTAGATGTTCTAAGAAATTTACACTAAAAATGTAGTATTAAAGTATACTATTACTAAATATTTTTACACAATTCTAAGTTAATAAATCCAGCTTTCACTGCTTACAACTGAATTCAGACCTCTGAGTAAAACGCACATATATCCCAGGGTATTATGATATAATAACTATTTGATTATGATTATGATATTTTATTAATTTTACGAGCCAGTCAAATTACACTCATAACTGAAATCTACCATCCATTTCAGTGTAATTTCTATTCTGGATACAACACAGTGCTGAAGACAAGCTTTGATGATTGGTCTATAAACAACTATATTTAAACATAAAAAAAAAAAAAAACTTTGATGATTTTAAAGTTTAACAATTTCAGGTTAAAGTTTCAAATTTGGTGTGTCATTGAACCCCACATTATGATTGAAACTGTTATTTTTTCATTGGTTAAATTAAAAAATATTACATTTTTTTCATTTTACCATAATTTACGTAAAGAAGATTGAATGATGTCACCATTGTCAGAAGATTCTAAAATAATTTTTATTTTATTTTATTTTTCAGTTTTTTAACAGGCCTGAATTCTGACAATTTTTCCCTGAATTCTGATGTTATATCTCACAATTGGTTTTTTTTGGTTGCCATGGAATAGAAAATAAAAATAAAGCAACTATTGTGTCTATATAGTGAAAGATGTATATTTTTACAAAAATACGGATTAAGAATGTGATACGAGTACTCATTATGATTAGATCTAAGTGTGAAATGATTTACAAAATTGAATTGTCCGTGCAGGAGGCATGAGTTGATTTAGTAGTGGACAATTTTAGAAAAAAGAACAAAAAGTAAGCATCATTCTGTTCAGGGCTTTAATATGTTCTCAGAGATGAAAGGGCTTTGTAGTGTTTCTCCTGTTCATCTTTCTGACTTTTATCTGGCATGAATCAGAGAAAATGATCACACAATGAGTATTGATCAAAGGTCCCGATAAACAAGCCACGATTACAAGGAACAAAACACTGAGCCTGATGAAGAATTGCTCTGTGGCCTTCACGTGACTCGAGTGTTTGATGAACATCACTCATGTGTGCGTCTCCTCAGATGATTTCTGGTGTGTTTTAGAGCTCTGTTTGTTGATGTCTGAGGAGACTTTAACTGCAGCTCCAGCAGACAGATTCACGGAGTTAATAACGGCAGAAAGAAATCACTCAAGCAGCAATGAAAACGCTGTCGTCATGTCATCTAAAGCCGTATCAATGCAAAAAATATCTATATATATTTTCTTAATCCATACTACTTTTTCTCATTTTAAGCATTAAATAATATGCCAACAGAGTAAGAAAATCATAATTTAGATGCATCTGGTTTCAAGGAAGTTTATTTATTTGACTGAATTATTAACTTACAACTTTTTTTTTTTTTGCAGTGAAATATATGACTTTTAAAATATATAAATATTTTCTTAATTAATATAAATGTTGTTCTTGTTTTAAGCATAAAATAATTGACCAATGAAAAATAATTAATCATTTTAATAATTAATAATAATAATTTGCCAAAGAAAACATAACTTAATTTTTTTGAATATTTCTCAATTTTTCTAAAAAAAGAGTTTCATTTATTTTATTGAATTAAAAAACAAAAAAGAAAGAAAAAAAGAAAAAAAAAATTTTGCAATGAAATGTATGACTGAAAAAAAATAATTTTCTTAAATCAACAGCACTTTTTTCTTCTAAGCATACATGTTCCTTAACAAAAAAACTTAACATTAAGCAAATGTATATATATATATATAAATGTATTTGGGGTTATAATATATAATATAATGTGTTTAAGGGTTAATTCAGGATAATTGGGACATTTTTCCCATTCATCTCAATAGCAAAAAGTGTCCAAATTTACTTAAATTCACCCCTACATATTACATACAATATATTTTCCATACAAGAATGTTTGGCTAAACTATCCCTTTAAAATCACCATAATATTTTTCAGCTTCTATTTGACGGACACACCGAGACCCAGTGTGTTAGTAACACAGACACGATCAATGATTCCCTGCGGAGTTCAATTTCATTACGACCGACTCGCTCAGATACAGAAAACCCACCAGCACTAATTATTCTGACACTTAAAAAAATCAAATGTACATCTAAAATAAAATGTATTTATGACCTGCCAATACCTGTCACACAGATACTGAGTAAGAGTGAGTGTGTGTGTGTGTGTGTGTGTGTGAAACTCTTGAGTGGCCATCAATCAGACGGCATATAGATCAATGTTCCACAATGATCCGTCTTTACAGGCTTACAGCACTCAAGAGAATAACACACACACACACTCATTCGTGTCACTACCTGATCAGAACGCCAGAGCAGTTTTGTTTAACACAGTTTAATCAAAGAAAAGGAACAGTAACCGGTAATTACAACAGCGCATTACCCTCAGGAACACACACACACACACATGTATGCATGCACAAACATGCATGTAAGCAAATAAAGACACGTTCTGAGCAAACTAAAACACAAATGCAGGAGGAAAGATAGAAAGGGGATTTTACCAGCTGGGTGGCCTCAACAATAAACACACACACACACGCACACATGCATTCACAAACACACACATTCACAAACACACACACACACACACACACACACTCACTCACTCACTCACTCACTCA